CCGTCCTCGCCATGTCGTCCGGTGGCATTTGGTTCGCGCTCCTCACCGACACGCCGCCCTTCATGCAAGCGTGCTGGCGCCTCCTCCTCACGGCCTTTCTGCAGTTCTTTGGCCTTGTGTATGAGCTCAAGACCGACAAGGCGCTCGATGCTGCGTTTTGGGCGCGCTACAAGGCGTCGCTGCCGCTGCTTTGCATCATTGGCCTCTCGCTCAGTTTTCACTTTGGCGCGTGGGGCTGGAGTGTCGCCCATACCTCGCTTTTGGACTCGCTCCTCCTTGTGTGCACGACGCCGCTCTTGCTGGTCGCCTTGATGACGCTGCGCTTCGCGTTTCGCTCAGTCCAAGGCCGCATGGCCCCGCCCATTGAAGCCTCGACGCACGAGCCGTCATCCGTTGTCGTCGTCGTCACACCGCAAGCCGACCGCCACATCGAGATGGACGACGGTGCGATGGCGCTCGAGTACCACCCGCTGCACAAGGAGCAACCGTCGGCGCCAACGCTCTTCCAGCTCATTTGTTGCCCGGTGCGTCCGCTGCCGCCCACGGCCATGGAGGCTATCGGCGCTATCCTTGGGTTCCTTGGCGTCGTCGTCTTGCTCGTCGCGAGCTCGGGCTCGGCCGACACGGGCCCCAAGGTGACATTGGCCGGTAACGCAGCCGCGCTTCTCGGTGCGGCGGCCGTGCTGGTGTACTTTGAAGGCGGGGCGACCTGCCGCGAGTGGATGCCGCTTTTTGTGTACGCATTTCCAGTCACATTTGTCGCGACGCTGTGCTTGGCGGTCGTCTCGCTTGCGTTTGAGTCTGGCACGTCGTTCACGGGCCTCGGCCCCACCGCGCTCTTTGGCTTCCTCGGGTCCTCGGATCGATTTGGCCTTGCGTTTGGCTCGGCGGCTGTCTCGGGCATTGCCGGCCACACCTTTGCCAACTTGGCCGTCAAGTATGTGAGCCCGCTGCTGATTTCGGTCGCAATTCTGTGGGAACCCGTCCTTGGCTCGGTCGTTGGCTGGCTCGTCGGTGTGCAAGGCGCGCCGGGTACCTCGGCGCTCGCTGCGACGCCGCTCCTCATGATTGGTGCGCTCTTGGTGACGGTTGGCAGCCGTGATAGTGGCATCGATCTTCTTGGCTGGCTCAAGGCAAAGACGACGGCGCTCTGCGGACGGCGACAGGATAGCTAAGTTTATACATTCCATGTGCTGGATAATATACACCACTGTATCGATAAATGTACTCCGCACTTGCGTCGTGTCGCGTTGGTATGGAAAAAAGCGTTGGGTCTTGGACGCGGGGTAGGTACCCTAACCCTAGAACGCGCTCTCGGACCTCGGCCGCCACAGTCGTCGTCTGGGTTGGGCATCGCGCTACGAGGCGGTGTCCCAAGGCTACATGGGATGATCATTTTGCACAATGATCAGGATGTCGTCGATGCATGCAACATGTACTACCGTACAGAACGGCCAATGCGACATCGTCCTGACGTCTTGATCAATCTTGGGCGCTTGTGGGTTGCGTCGAGGACTTTGAGCAAGCTAAAACACTTCACGGCCGGCTCACTAGTGTGCTTCAGCGCGATGGGCCTCAATACCCAGTACACCATGATGCAGTCTCCTCGACTGGACACAAGGCTAACACATATTTGGAAAATTGATATATACACGTCGTGGTTACGGCGCCTGGCGAAGGTACGAGGGAAAGTCGTCGCTTGGATCAGCATCCATGTCTGATGGATCCCTCCGCTCAACGACGCATTGCTGACGCGGATACTGCGTCCTCCACTGGGCTGCGCGCGCCTGCATCTCAGGCAGGTGCTTGTCGTCGACGCCAACGACGACCTTGGTCACTTGGGACGTCACATGGCGCAGCCAGTCGTCGTGGCCGTCCGTCCACGCCGTCTCGGTCGTAGCAATGACGAGCGTTTGCACGTTCTCGCCGAGCATCGGGTCGGCGCCATTCGCCTTGTTCAGATCTGTCGGCAGGAGCACGCCGATCGTCTCGACATGCAACGGCGCCTGTACCAGCAAAGGACACTGGACGTGTCGAAGCGAGACGCTGCTGGCGCATATGCTCTGGTCGTACGCGGCGACCTGCCAGCCGTCGACGTGCAAGTCGAGCGTGGTCAGCGCTCCATGGCGCTCGTACGACGTGTTGAGATGCCACGCGTCTTGGTGCAAAGTGAGCTGGCGCAATTGCGGAAAGTCCAGAAAACTCAAATTGAACTCGCGCCAATGAAGAAGCGCGCCAGGTTGAATGCGCACAGCTCGCAGCGCCGAGAGCGGTAGCACCGCGTCCGCCGTCTTGCGGCGCTTGAGCCGGCACCACTTGCGATCGTCGAGCGTGTCTTCGTACGCAACGGCATCGGCAAACTTGGGCGGTTGGCACTTGCTGGCGTTCGCAATCACGTTGGTCACGACCACGTGCTGCGACCCAGTCGCACGCTCCAGCAGGCGCGTGAGGGCAGCGTGAAGCGCATCGCTTGTCTCGAGCGTCATCCATGTCCACGGGTGCAGCTCGACTTGGGCAAAGTAGTCGGCGTCCATGCCGTCAACGCTGTGCACGTTGGCCACGAGCGGGTATCGGAACGGGTCGGCCGAGACAGCGCAGAGGCGCACGACATGGTCGTCTTGCTGCGACGTGGTCGAGAGAATGTGCACGCGGACGCGCAGTGGGACGCTTGCGACGGCATCCGCCCACGCATGGTTGACGAGGCGCAAGGCGGCGGCGTCCATCGAGAGCGGGCGGTAGACGTCGATGGCGAACTCGAGGACTGCTCGGCGGAGCGCGGTCGGTACCATGTCGTGTGCCAAAAGAAAATGCAAAGTCAAAAATGCCAGCTGCGATCTTCGCACTTAGGAGGACGCACCCAATCATCATCCTACGTGCGCTTTTCTACCGAGCGCAAATTTACCTTCAACAGGATGAAAGTCGGCGGCGGTGTGGGCGACTCTCGGTCGCTTATGGTGCAGGACGAGTCGACTTGTACTGCCTTGTACGTGCGCCGCAATGCGAGAGCATGGTCGACGGTCCTGTCACGCAACAAAGTGCAAAGGCAATGTGAGCCCGCGCTGAACCCAAGGCTTGGATACCGTACTCGAGCCACGTCCCGTGGGCAACACAGCTGTGGCATCGCCGAAATCTGGGGTTTCTACTTGGTTGTTTCTGAGCTAGCGAGACCCGTCCAGTGCGCCACCTCGAACGCCGCATTCGAATTAGTATCCACACAGGCCCATTTGACCTGCTCGACCACGCTGCCACTGTGTTCGAGTCGAGCACCGACCGGTCTCGCCGTTGCGGCACTGGCCGAGCACTGCAGTGTTGAGCCGTCTTTGGTCACTTGTTCGTGACGTTGTTTTTGGCGACCATCGCAGTGAACCTCGAGCGTCGAGCGACAAAATTTCAACAAGATGCCGCTGGATCTCCACGTCAAGAGCTCCTCAACACTAATCTGCGTTATTCCTTTCGCGCGTAGCTTACAAGGCGAAGCGTCCACGGCTGTTGGTCGTTTCCGTTGCGCAAGCGCGTCGTCTCGCGGGTGTAGGCTCGCTGGAGCAGCCGCGGGACGTACCACTCCGAGTCACGCATCTCGACACGGATGGGCGTCGTCGTCTGTATTTTCTCTAAAAACAAGAGGGCGTCGGCGCCATGCGAGCTGTCAAAGCCAAGCACGAGCGTACTGGCGCTCGGCCAATGGGCTAGCGATGACGCGACGTGCGTGAGATCGCGCAGCACGTAGCGGTTGTCCTCGAGCTGGACGCGCGCCAGCTTGGGCTTGGTGGCGAGCAATGGCAACAGTCTTGCGAGTCCCGTCGCCGACATGGCATTCTGGGCTACGTCCAGCATCCGCAGCGCCGTGCACGTGGTGAGTATATGAAGCAGGTACGGCACGACCGAGTCGGTGAGCTGGTTGTCCGACAAGCTCAACGTCTCGAGCAGCTGCAAGTTGGCAATGGCTTGTAATACGGGCGGAAAGACATTGCATCCGAGCCGATTGCCCGTGAACGCCACTGCCACCAAGTGACGCAAGTCCCGCACGACTGCGACAAGCGGCGACGGCGGCAGATGTCCCCACGAGAGAGTGAGCGACGAGAGGCGCGACACGCTCCGAAGCATGGCTGCTACAGGCCCCATGCTGCGCTCGTTCGAAGCCTTCCATGTAAGCGTGCGCAAAGTGTCTGGCAGGCGGTAGTCGGTCGTTGGACGGGTGAGGAGCCTGGGACTCTCGAGCACGAGGTCGGTCAAGACAGCGCTGGCGCCGAGCGCGGACCAGAGCGCTTCTTCTGCCGTCACATCGCCACGGCATACAAGGAAGCTTGCGCTTGGTTGACACAGCCAGTGTGCGACGTGCTCAAAGACATAAGACTGGATTGAGTCTCTGCCGAATCGAAGGTCGAGGGTTGTGAGCGTCTTGGTCGTTGCGAGATGCTGCAACAGCGGCTTGAGCCACACCACAGCGTCCGACTTGCTAGGAATAAATAGCGACAAGTGGCGAAGCGCCCTGCACGAACCAAGCGCCGCCTGCAAGCGCAGACCGGCCGGCAGAATCAAGGCCGACTTGATGTCGACGCGCGTGATGCAGCCCGCGAGAAGCCGCGTTAGTGCTTGGAACCTGTCGCCGGCTGTGACATGGACAGCTATGGAAGGCCCAAGTCGACGGGCTGCAGCGAGCAGGCGTAGCGAGCGCGCGTTGATGGCTGTCTCGTCCAGATACACCTCGGGCCAATGCACGACCGCCATAGCGGTGAGCTGGGCCACGCACTGCAGCGACAGTGTCAAAAGACTTTGTGGCAAACTCGCAAGAACGAGCTTGACGTCACGTGGACGCTCAAGATAGAGCACAACGGCCTCGACGAGCTCGGGAGTCCAGCGACTCATGCAACGACAACGAAAAATCAGAATGTGCAAACTGGAGAAAGGCCGTGGAAAGAGTGTTGGTACTACATACATTCTGCTTCTTGGGATTGTAGCAATAAGAAGCTTCTTATTGCCCCTTGCAGAGGCCAAGAATTGACATCGATATGATATGGTGTAGCCTTTCCATGTATTGACTTGAGAGTCTGAGTTCCTCCACCTTTTTCGACGTGGGAGATACAACCTGTAATAGGATGAAAAACGTCTATCACGAATTTCCTTGTTGTTTCAAAAACCGATAGTGCTAACACGCTTTTTAGCTCCACACGTATTTTGATGACTTTTTCCGAGCTAACCACACGCGCGGTCTAAAGCTTGACAACAAACCACGTCCGCACTAGCTCGTTCTTTTCTCGCTTCTACTTGCCAGTTGCACATATGTATGTCCAATCCGTAGAGTTGATATAGAGGGATTTGATGCTTGTTTCTGCGTCGGATCTACCAATGTGTCGCGTCACCGCTGCAATTGCTTGGCTTTTGGTCCCCACGTCTCGAGATTGCCGTTACGATCGCCCAGGTACTGGATCTCTCCCAGCGTGCCACGTGTTTTTAGAGACCGTTGCGGTTTCTTGGCGCCTTTTTTTGGCACCATAATCACGTCGACCAGCATACTAGTATGCTCTCACTAACTTACTTCACGAGGTGCAACTCCAATTTTAATATCGATTCGAGTCGTTTCAACTCGTCGTCGTCGTTGTTGAACAGTCGCATTTCCCATCAACGCCAACCCGGGCAAATGCGAGGCAACTTTCCATACAGTGGTACTTCCGACCATTAGGTGACCTTTCCGCGGTGATTTCCCTTGACCGCGTGGCTTTGTGCCAGTGCTAAAGACCGGGTGTGGCGGCGCATTGAGGCATCGCGGCCACTTTTGCATCGTCGATGGCGCCGCTTCTCCGCGCATCGACGCTCGAAGCGCTCGCCTTCGTCGTCGTCTCGCTCCTTGCGTTCCTCCGCAGCGTCAAGCGGTCGCGCCGCCCGCGCCCGTACCGCGGGTGTCCGCCCGAGGTGCTCGAAGCCATTGCGCTCTATATCCCGTGCCCGGTTGCGTGTCGGGACTTTCTCTGCGCGTTTCCTCTATCGGCGCTCACGCCGTCGCTGCGCTGCCTCCTCGAGCTCCTCGATCCCGCGCAGCAAAACATTGCCGTGCGCTGGCCCGCAATTTACGTCAACCACAAGGATCGAACCGCCGACGTCCTGGCGTGGATCGCCGGCGCCAGGACACTCCACAGACAGCTCTCGCTGACGCCGACGACGCCAACCATCTTTTCGGCGGCGTTTCTTCCTACTTGCTTTCAAGGCTTTGAGTGGCGCGGTGACGCCAGCGCCACCCGCACTTCGATCGACGCCGATGCCCACACGCCCGACGCCGTCGCGAGCGTCCTTGCGCACCCCGACGCGCTCGGATCGCTGACGCTGAGCATTCCGGACGTGTGTCCTTCCAGCCTTATTACAATGCTTCCGAATCTGACGCATCTCACAACGCTGAGTTTGCAGGGCCACGATGCAAGCTTGCACCTACCATCGCTCTTCCAGGCGCTGTGCTGGCTCCCGCACCTCCAGCACTTGCATTTGAATCATACGGGATTAGACGACGCGATGGCGACCAAGGTGAGCCGCGTCGTGCGCTGCTGCTCGGAGCTTGAGGACCTCGACCTCTCGGGCAACCAGTTGTCGGCCGCCGGCGTCACGTCGCTCCTCTCCAACTTGCACACGAGCCCAAAGCTGGTGGCGGTCAACGTGACGCAAAACCCCTATGTGCTCAAGGACCTCGTCGGCGCCGCGCCCGCGGTCGCCCGCCTCGCTGCGACGCTCAAGACGATCTCACTTCGCGTCGATCGAGATGACATGGCCGACGCATTCCCGTTTCTTCGGGCGCTGCGCGCCGTGTGCACGCACCGGATCGTGGTCATGATGGTCGGGTCGGGCACGCTCTCGTCGGACCTTGCGAAAGAATACCACCAGCTCAAGCAAGATCTGAGGAGGGCCGACGAGCCCCACAAGCGGCGGTGCCAGCTGTACCTCTTTGGCCGCGACCCGTGGCCCAAGCGCGACCTTCTCGCACAAAACGCAGGCTGCGCCATGTCCTAACCCTACCTATATAACATTTTATGCAATCTCATCAAAGTGGTTCCATAGCATGATTCCATATTGGAAAATGTATCAAGCTGCAATGTCAACCCACGCACTCCAGAGACATCGAAACAAATAGTAATCCTTCAAGTTGCGACAGAGATGCCTAGTACTTGGTCGCATTGCGTGGCATGGTCGAAACGTCGTCGCGCTTGGTCGAGTTTTGGGGCAGCGCCGACATGGTCTCGGATGCGTCGTACGCGCTGTGCAGCGCCGTCTCAAAGGCCGGTAGCAGCGTCTGCAGCGTCGGCCGGTGCGTCGGCTCGAGAGCCAAGCACTCAAGCCCGAGGTTTCGAAACCAGGACGGGCACTCGGGACTCAACGACGGGCGCAATGTGCCTGTCGCAATGCGTCCCAAGCGCTCGTACTCGGGCAGCGTCCACGCACCATCCCGCGTGCGCAGCTCCCAGTACGGCTTCTTGCAGGTCTCGAGCTCGGTGAAAATGACGCCGAGCGAGAAAATGTCGGCTGCCATGTTGTAGTCGCGGTCGCCGCGCAGCACCTCGGGCGCCATCCAATGGCACGTGCCCATCTTGGCCGTCATCGTGTGGTCGTCGACGGTACGCGCGACGCCGAGGTCCGTGAGCTTGGCGTGCGCAAAGTCCTGCGTCAGTAGTACGTTGCGCGTCTTGAGGTCGCGGTGCATGAGTGACCGCTTATGCAAATACACCAGGCCGCGCATAATGTCGACAGCGTACTGCAGCCGAGTCGCCCACGCCGGCCGCGACGGGAGGTAGTCGCAGAGGTCGCCGCCGGGCATGTACTCGAGCACGAGCTGGATGTCGCATGGGCTGCTCCACGCCGCGCCGAGGCACGTCACAATGTACTCGGACTTGAGCCTAGAGGGTCGCTTTTAGTTTCAACTTGATACTAAAGAATGATGCGTACTGGGCCGCGAGCTCGATTTCGTCGAGGAAGCTTTGGATGCGGTCGCGGTCGCCGTGGGCGAGCATCGTCTTGACAGCGACCGACTTGCCACCGAGGTCGGCGAGGTACACGACGCCGTAGCCGCCGCGCCCGAGCTCCGATCGGCGCAGAAGTGGAGCGGTGATGCGCTTGACGTGGAGCGTATCGAGGTTGAAGATGGAGGCAAGGCCGTCGTCAAAGGTGCTGGTCGTGTCGGTTGCCGCCGTGTATGTCTTTGAATACAGTGCGGGAGGCTCTACTGGCGCTTGCGCCACCGGCGTGCACGTCCTTGAAGAGTCTGCCGAGCGCGGTTCCGGAGAGTACGAATACCGGTACAGCTGCGGACTCGATGGTGAGGAAAGCACGGACGGAGCTTGGGCTAGTTCTGTCAGCGGCGAGCCGGCTTCGGCCCACATGTTTGACGGTCGTGATACGTCGCTCTTCCGCCTGAGCTCTTTGACGCATCCCAGCACAAAGCCAGAGCAAAAGGCGACGCCAAAGATCGAACCCGCGACAATGCCAATGATGGCGCCCGTCGAGAGACCGTCGGTCGTGGTCTCCAGACGACGTGTATTGTCCAACTGCGCGTCGATGGAACTCGGGCAGAACTCGAAGGACGACGACGCGCGCGGCGCACACTCGGCCTGCCACGGGCCACAGGTTCGGCTCTCGCGGTCATAGCACGGCCGGTCGCCGCCGCACACGCAGCCGCTAAAGTGGTCGTAGCACAACGTTGCGTTCTGGCACGTGCCAACACCCAAGGCGCAATAGGATCCACCGAGGCCGTTGCTGAGGTTGGCGTCGCCCGAGCGGCAGTCGGAAGTCGTCGCGTTGAAGCATGGCGCCGTCGCGGGGCAAACTGCCGCCGATGTGGCCGCGGCGGCGAGAACGACGTGGGCGAGAACACGCTGCATGAGGCGGATATCGGCAACTGACGACCCGCTCAATCGAGCTCTTCTGTCATGTACGTAGTACACGCGTGGGTAACGAGATTGTGGATTGTGGCGCGTCGCACCCAAGCAAGTTGTCTCGGGTTGTACTATTTGCTTTGGGCCTTGCGTTCGCTTTGTGCATAGAAGCTGCGCCTTTGAACTTGAGCAAAAAATGTCGTCGAGTCGGGCTACTAAAGCCATGGAACGCTTCGCAGAGCGGATTTCCGCGACGTGAACCATAGAGTCCAAACGCGATCGACCACTATTGCGCCACCAGAGGTGCACATTCTCTACTAATACACGTTGCTCTGCGCCAATTCCCTGCACCATACCGGTACTTTCGTATCAGGTTTGCTCGTCGAAACGCTCGTGACGGCGCGTTCAGAACTCGCTCAGCGACGTACCATATGGTGTCAGTTTGCTTTTTCCTCGCATTAAACTAGACCAGTCGACGAGAGCGGTGCTTTATCGTGGCGTGATAGCTGGACAACTGTCGAGCAGGTTGATCTTTGCGAGAAGCTAAAGCTAAAACGCTACATAGCTCCTCTTGGATGCTGCGCAAAATTGATTTGTTATTTAGTAGCTACTGCTCTCACTGAATACAGTGCCACGATGAGCGTCATCATTTAACAGCTGTTCTTGGGTGGAAGGGACCTCAGACAGGCAAACTTAATTCTTGCTTCATTCCAGAACACATGGTCGAAGTAATAATATTCGTGCACTATTTTGAGTGGAATAACGCCGAGTCCTCCTTCGCGTTGCTTTATCTCTCGGATACCTCGCGCGCTCGGGCTTAAGGTCCGCGGGGGAAGGGGGTGGGTATGGTCGGGCAATGTTGTAGAGCGAGACGAAGCCTTAACAGGCGGGGTGAAGGGGTATTTGGGGTAAGGGAGTGGGGGATGGAGGCAAGAGGTGTTGTTTTATTATTACCAAACTTCGTTTTCGAAGTCGTAGAAGAGGGGGTGTCCCAGGTCTATAAACCAATCATAGGACGTTAAAACGCATGGATTTAACAGGTGGAATGGATCAAGAATTAAGGCCACCTGACTGCAGACCAATAGTCAGGCCTCTGCTATCTTGGATTTTTTCCAATTTTTTCAAATTTTCTCCAAGTTCTAGCCCAAATGACTATCGAAGAAAATTAAGCTTGCTTTTTGTATGCCAAACGAGTGGTTGGTTGGATTTCCACACAAAGCAGGGAGGCCATTTTGCGCTTGTGATGTGGGACCGCAGCGAAGACCAAGAGCTCAGTAAAGTCGGGCCGCGCCAAGGTGCCCAAGCCAGCCACGCTGACGCAGACTACCCTACATGCTACGGTGTCTACGACAGTGCAGGCTGTCGTGGTGTCTGTCGAGGCAGCGGTCGCATGAACGCGTACTAGTACATGGCGTACCGCGACGCCGCTGCCACCGACAAGCACGACCTCGAGCTCGCTGTATCGACAGCTATCGAGCTCTTCGTCGTCGGTCTCGACAAGCTCTGCGCCAAGAAGCTTGACGTGCCGCCTGATTTACAAGCTCCGCACGAGTTGGCGACTACGGAGCTCGGCCCGTTCATGGACGTTCT